CAATCAAAGGGTGCATTGACCCTCCTTTTGGAGCACCGCGTTCAAAGGTTTTCATTTGGAGCTCAGCGATCATTGACAGGGCACACACCCCATCAATCCACCATCATCACCACCCAAGCGCTCTTTGTTGGTGTGCAAGACCTATGGTACACATTCATGGTACATCCTGATAGATGTACACTCCCAAAAACTAACATGGACCCTGACAATGGCCCCCTGGAAGAATGTGTTCCTCTACCAACCAGTGGTTTTCAGGGTCTATGTTAGTCTTCCAGGGTGTATATTCAATTCTCTGCAACATTCTTGCAGCCCTTGCTTTGTCCTTCCTCCCAGACCCTTCGCTGTCGTCGCTCTCGCCTTCCAAACGCTGGAAGAAACCAGGATTCGCCTCCTCCGAGGCCTCATAGCCTTGGCCAAGCGAAGCAGAAGTTGGCAAGGATGTCCTTTAAAAAGAATAGAGGGCTTCATTTAGCTGGACCGCAAAAATGACCGAGGGTAATCCCAGTGTAATCAAGCAAGGCCGCAGGTCAGGCCATCTACTATGGAAGTTGGTCTCTTTCACCACAGAAACATGTTGAGCCGGTGAATTGGGCAGAACAAGAAGGCAATGCACACGCATCGATCTGACCCTGCTCGATGTTCGTCGGTGTTCTTCAGGTTAAGTTGTGGAAAGTTGGTGCCGTCCAAACCGTGTATTTTGGTGAACATGCAAGGGGCATGCAAAAAGAACTGAACAGCTTGCTGGATCTTCATCAACTGCTTCACATCATTTAAAGAATTTGATGCCTGGAATGTGCCATGTGCATCCAACTTGCAGGAGGGGTTCTGGTACACCGAGAGTTTGTATAAATTATATAAAAAGAATATATGTGAGAGGGTGCGAGTCAACGATCTAGTTGAGCAGTGTGATCTTAAGCATAATGATTAGGTATTAATGGTTATTAAGCTGCCACAACGTTTCAACACCTGACCGTGACAACCATGACATCGACAGAACCACACTTTCTCTGCAAAGGCAACATCACGCTTTTCTTCGTCGCTGTTCTTCACCACTTCGGCCCCCTCAACAGGTGTGCAGGTGGCCCATTTCAACGTGTGCCAGTGCCAGCATTGATTTAATCAATCTACTGACTTTCTTAATCTTTCTTACGACATGATGCGGAATCCAAACGGAAGAGAAGTGAACATCCCTCGGTGCTGCAGCTGGACAACGTTCCGGTCTCCCGGTCATGCCAAGAGGACGCGCATGACATCCCGGTGTCCGTTCCGCTCGGCCGATGCGTAGGCGCTCCAGAGGTCGCCGAAACTGAAGTGGTCCCTGTAGGCCTGCAGCAAGAGCTGCACCGTCTCCAGTTGCCCAAACATGGCCGCCAGGTCCAACGCAATTCGAGGATCTCTGGTCAACTCTGTGATCCCTTGGGCGCTCGCCTGAATCAACACCTGCACCACTTCGCTGCGGCCATTTCCAGCAGCGAAGTGCAGGGCACTGCCTCCGCCTCCGAAGGCCTTCTTCTCAACATCAGCGGCAGCGGCCAGCAGCAACTGCACCAACTCGGGATGGCCCATCCCCGCGGCTCGATGCAAAGCGGTGGTTCCATCCTGCCCCCCTTGCTTCTCGTGATCTGCTGCTGCTGCCAGCAACCGGCGCACCACCTCAACATGACCGGCCTCAGCCGCCAAAATCATCGCTGTTTCCCCATCTGCTCTAGGCATGTCCTTGTCAGCCCCAGCATTCAGCAACAACTGCACGACTTTGGTGTGGCCGTTGCCAGCTGCAATGTGTAAAGCTGTGGTTCCATCAAGCGCTGCCGTGTCTTTGTCAGCCCTGGCCACCAGCAACAACTCTACCACTTGCGGATGGCCAATGGCGCTTGCAATGTGCAAGGCTGTAGTCCCATCATTCGCAGCTTTGTCTTGGTCGGCTCCAGCAGCAAGCAACAACTCTACCACTTTGGGATCACCATTCTCAGCTGCCCAATACAAAGCCGTTGAGCCGAAGGGATCTTCTTGGTCTTGCTTCGCCCCTGCTTCGAGCAGCAAACTCACACACTGCAAGTGGCCTTCCCAAGCCGCCATATGGAGCGCTGTCCAGCCGTCATGGTTTGGGACGTCTGGAGAAACGGGCTTCTGCAGTAGGGCTTCAACTTCTTCACAGTGATTCTCAGCACATGCAGAGATGAGCTTCACATCTGGCGGCCAGAAATCTAGGAGCAGCAACTGCACGGTGGAAGGAGGACAAAGCATCTCCTGGCAATGCATCCAGATCTTTGGAATACCAAATAATACACACTGTACACACTCAACTTCCCACCAAGTCAGTGATATGATGCTCAATGCTGCAATCCCCCCCTGCTATCTTTCTTAGCCTCTTTACCCGTGACTGAATTCTGTCAAGGGGGTGTTGGATCATTCCTCTAACATACCACTATCATTGTTGGGTTTTCTACCTAAAAAGGTGCTGTTCAGGTTTGACCTATATAATCCTCCCACGTATACACCCTATACACGCACCCGCACTCCAATTGTTCAGTGGAACCTTACTCAAATATCATTGGCACGTCCCCCTCTTGAAAGCCGCGTACCCATGGTATTTGCTCCACATGTTCGTGCATCATGTATCTCCGATCACCCAATCTCCTGGTCATCATAGCTGCTCAGATCTTCTCTACACCATCTCTGCCTGAACCTCGAGGCTCCCAGCCTCAGCTGAAAACTTTAGGCTGTGCTTATAGGGTTTCCCTAACTGAGGTAGATTAGGAGGGGAAGGAAATCTTCCTCCAAAGAGCGTCACAATACTCGTCACAATCTATTCTATTCCTATTAGGGTGAGCCCCAATGTCCATCCCCTCTCAAACCTCAACCTCTTCACACGATGGGGATGCCCTGTAGTTTCCTGTCTGTTGAAAAGTTGTTGGGTAACAAAAAATTGCAACACACACAGATGAAATCCCGCTATTCTCAAACAAACATCTGTCTAAGATGGATCGACCCTAAATCCATGAGTATCGACCCTAAAGACTGGGATCGAACCTAAAGACCCTTCACCACCATAGCCAAGCCTCTGCTTGGACAGCCGCGCCTTCAGCGCCTTCACCGACGCTCCGCCCTCCAGCTCCTCCGCCGTCCAGCTGGTCACCAGCGCTCCGGACACTGCCCAGCAGACGTGAAGCATGGGCAGATGTTGAAAGATGAGAGCAACTATATATCCGCCGAGCCAGGTTGAAGCAAGGGGGAGCGCATCACAGGTATATATATATATATATGTCGAGTCAATGTCCATTGTCCATCAGTCTTTTTCTGAATTCATGTTGAAAAAGTGAGTATGAAGACCCCGAAAAAGACACTCTGCCTGGACTCTGCCTATCTGGTAATGATTGAAGCTGCCTGAGTTGTGAATAGAATATATTATATAATATAACATAATACTATATATATATATAGTGCGAACCTGTCTCAGACAGTGGTTCGCTTTCTCCAATCAACTCTTTCATGCTGAATGATTGCATGACACACCCAAAGGGTGTCGGGATCAACTCTGACTCAGCATTTGAAGTGGATGGCATGATATGGCACGGCGATGCATGGCCATTCATGTCTCCTGGGATCCCCTTAATTCTCTCAAAAGAATGCTTCACCAACCAGTATACCATACCGTACCCCACACCTCTGATCCAGATCCTGGTCCTCCAGTCTTGAACCTCCCCAAGCGCCCCCAACCGCCCACCACTGGGCGCTCCGCACGGCGTCCGCAGATCCGCACCGCCAGGCCGGGTCCGCCGGGTCCGCCGGGTCCGCCGGGTCCGCTCATCGCTGGGTCATGGCGCGGTGGGTCGCCCATGACGACGGGGGGGCACGACCAGGTGTCGCGGGCGCCACGAATCGCTTTGGGTGTTCGGGTGGAAGAAGAAGGGTGAACGAACGCTTGAACGATTCTCCATGTGAGAAATGAATGGGGTTGACATGTTCAGGACATGAAGAACTTTGGCATGACATGAACAACTTGGACGCATGAAGAGGCTGTCTATCTGGGAAGAGAGTGGGAAAAGCATGGGGATGGCATGTGGCATGAGGGTGGTGAGCGGCTGGGACTCTCTCAATTGAGTGAGGGTGTCTTGCGGGGTTTGGACGAGAACTGCAGGCTAAGCCTGCAGGCTTGCCACTCCTGGGAGTGTGCTTGAAAAGCTGATGAGTGCAAAGGAAACTGTTGGCTTTCATGGGCTGGAGGTGTCGCTCAAGCTAGTAGGCGGGGGTGCTAGACGCCCGCGCGCCTACTAGCGCGCGGCTTCTTATATAGCTGATCTCAGCGGGCAGGGCATTGGAATCTCAAACCACCTGATGACCTTTCCACAAAACCAGGTGTGGGGCTGTTCCTGGCTCCAAAAAAAGGAGGTGAAAGTGATTTATAGAACCCACCCCATATGAAGAAGTCCTACACGGTGGGTTATCAAGCAAGATTCCACATCACTGTGCGCATCGGTGCATTTTGAAAAAACATCGACCATATGGCGCGGTTGCTCATCTGCAAGTCTTCCAGATCTCTTCAAGCCAAAATGCCCAGTGCAGTCGCAGTGCCGTCCCGTTCTTGGAGCGAGGAAAGGATGCCCGTGCAGACGCACTGCTGCACGCTGGGGGAGATAAGTCCCAACGCGTGCAAAAAGAAGATCCGATATGGTAGAACCATGAGAAAATCATTGAACATAATCAGGCCTTGGTTGAGTTGAGCTCCTGTTTGGAGAATTCATTAAACTTGGGCCTGGTTGAAACCAAGCTGGGCTTCAATGTTGAGTCAGAGTCCTTAGAGCTGGCTGAATAATGAATCCCCAAAATGTATGTCCGGACGATTCTACTTGCAGTCACGATTCTGCGAGGGTTTTTGCGAAATCTGTTTGCCAAAAAGGCTGCAAGCAGGTGGAAACAACAAGCAAAACTTGTCGGTGCTGCCTCTCATGGTGCGATCTCTCTCTCTCTCTCTCACTGACCCATTCCGGACCAATCATTGCCTCCAACCCCACATTCCGAAAGGATTTCACTGCCTGGCAAGGACTGCGATCGGTTGATTATATGATAGAGCAACGTGCATTCTCGGCACTCATCTATCAGACTACAATCTGTTCAACCATCTTTGCAAACCAACATGATGTGAATCTAAGATCTGCTTTGTCGAATGTTTTTTGTGCTTATCCAAGCTGCCTGAATTCTGAAAGGCTCAAAACAACATAGAAACCCAGGAAAATGTACGACGGTACGAATCTTCGAAACAGAAAACAATAGAGTGAGTGCCAGTGTCGGTACCTCAGAGATTGCCATTGTGCCACCTCAAAGTGATAGTGGCAACTGATCTGGTTTTCTGGCGACCTTCGCATTGTACTCACCATTCCACTTGACGTGGGTTTGGCCGTTTTACTTTTTGAAAATCAAGGCCTCAAGGCGCAGTCCCTGCAGGCTGACTTCCCTTCTCCTTCGTTTCTCCTTCCTCCCTCTTCCATCTTCCAATGTCCATGTGACTCTCTTGTGACCACAAAAACCACCATCTGATTTGATCCGAAATCTAGGCAAGTCGTGCTAGCCAAGTTCGCACCAAACCTACCTTTCTGGCACATCAGAAAAACAGCTTTACAACAGCGAAAACACAAGTGCTTTGTGCAAAATCGCCTCCGAACAGCTTTCGCTGTACATTCATGTATACCTAATAAAAAGATAGCTACACTGGCTACACTGCTACACCAATCCTACTAGACTGAGATCGTCTGCAAGCAAGAATATACAGTATAAACATATACAGTACAAACATGTCTTGCAACTAACCCGCAAAACCACACTCCTTCACTCGTCGCATCTCTTTCTTCGCCCGAATTCGGGGACCTCCGAAACAAGCTGCAGCGCGGTGCCGTCCTGTTTCACGGCCTACGAGCTGGGTGAGGAAGGTGTCCGAGGTGTCCGAAGTCCGGTGTCTTGGGAAATGGAATGACTTGCGGTAGATCTTCGAAGGTTAGAAGAACACATGCATCTAAATATATATATATATATGTGTACTTATAAACACATGGAAGACTGTGGAAGACTTGAGAAAATTGCCAGTCATGAGCATGGGCCCCAACAGAAAAAGAAAGAGGCAGGCGTCAGGCCCATGTTCAAGTTGAACCTCAGTGTCCACTGCCGAAAAAAGAAATCCCGGCTGATGTGTCAACCGTGCCAAAACACCAGGAATCCTCAGGCAAAAAACGCCACCAAATGCGTCGCAGGTCGTTCCAACCTCGACCCGTCTGTCGGTGCCGCCGTTCTTCGAGACCAGACCCCCCTGCGATCAGGCCTCGAGGGCCACAGTCACGTCCTGCTTCAGAGATCCAGACGCCCACCTCACTGGATCTCGGTGAAGCAACGGCGTGGCACGACGTGACGACGAAGGAAGAGATCGTCCTACACGGAACATGGCGGAGCTGGACTCCACAGGCGGCAACAGCCAGCTGACGCCAGCTTGCAACAAAATGCCGCCAGCTTGCAACAAAATGGCAGAAGACTAAGACTGTGAAAAGCATTGAACACCTGACACATTCCAACTGTTGACACAACCCATCACACCTGTTGACAGCTGGGAATTTCTGGCGGCCCAAACGACACCTCTCAGCGGCCCGGCATGATGGCCCGGCCCTTCTGCTGCACAGCCGCAGTGACGACATCCTGAGAGTACGACACCCGACATCGACAGAGGGAATCCAAGCCCCACAACTCTGGGAAAACGACCACCTCAACAGCCCACGGCCGCAGGAAAAAGTAGGGCTCCCTGCTCGATCACAGCGGAGCTCCTGCGGCAAGTGCTGCAGAAGAGTCCCATCGAGACTAAGCATCTCGGTGACCAGCCTGAGATTGCCGTGCCAAACAAAAAGGAAAAACAGAGTCAGAGCCCCCCAGATCTGCCATGGAAGAATGTTATGCGCTTTCCAGTTGTTTCACGTCCCTTCCCGAAACATCGAGCAACACACATGTCTGACCTGAATCGTACTTGTGCTGACCATGATAAATCCCAGAGCCAGCAAGGAACTGGCGCAATGAGCACGTTGATTCGATTCTAGATCCAACCAAATCTGTAGTTTCTTAAAACCGGAGCAATGCACCGGAGCCTCAGAAGGGCCTTCACAAATGTTTACCAACTCCACAAGAGAAAAACAATGCTTTCGTGGATGATGGTGGGTGTGGTTCTTGAGATCCCACCAGGACTTTGGTTCCATGAGCATCACTTTCAAACGTTTAAACGTTCCCTACATGTGGTGAAGGCCTCACGAGCGAGTCATGAGCATCTAATGGGCCACAGGCTGGGAACCAACTCACCCCAAAACAGTCAATGAGTGGGTCACCCTCATCTATATACAGCTCCGTTTCTGGCGTATGGACCGTATGGAAAAAGAATCCCAGAAATCCCAAAAGGCCCCTGGCCCCTGCTTCCAAGACCAGATTCTCGGAAAATCGGTTCCAATTCCTCGTCAAGTCCCTCCGACCTTCCACCTCGCCCGACCGCACGCTTCTGTGGCGGCAGCACGAGCCGTTGGGACGCCCGGCGGCCGGTCCCACTTCAAAGGCCCACAGGCATAGGCGAACGCCTTGGGAGTGCTCTTCGTGGCCTGGCGCTGCTACGCGTGGCGGAAGATCCAGCTGCTTCAGTGAAGTAACACGGATGATGATGACGGGATGATGATCTGGACGTGATGTATGCTGTGATGTGAAGACCCTTCGTTCCCATGCGGACTTCAAACTCCTTCCTGAAGCTTCCTTGAAGGCCCCCTTCATGAAACCCCCCTTTCTCGAAGCCTCCTTGAACCCTTTCATCCTTTTGAAGGTCGAAGGGCGCTCGGATCATGCCCCAAGAGAAGTCTCCTGAAGGCTTCTTTGACAGAACCATAGAAAAATCCGACGCACCGAATTTGTGGTACTCACTCCATCCACCATGATCCACCTGATACGTTCAGCGAGACCGGCGTCTCACTGGATCGGCGTCTCTCTGTGCCGCCTCGCGCACCAGCGAGAGGTCGGAGCGCAGCTCCGGCACCTTGTAGCTTCTTGTTCCTAGTAAGGCCAGGAGCCCCTAGTAGCGTCCTTGCTTCTAGTAGCGATGCCCTTTGCTCCTAGCAGCGTCCTCTTTCAAACAACTGGGACGAGATGACTAGCTGGAAGATGTGGTCCGCAGGACTTGATGCAGGTGCTGTTGTGACGGGTTTTGAAAGAAACAGAAACCTCTTAAGAACTCCAAGGCACCCAGGCAGCCTTCCCACTCCAAACTTTGGTGATGGATTCTAAGAATCCCTAGATACCCTGAAACGTCCTTGACAGCTTCTTGCTGCGTCAAAGCCAGGGAGATGGGGCCCCCGCGGCAAAGCGCAGCGCCAGGCCGTTCTGACGCACAGCACACTGCACGACCTGGCACCGGAAAAGGGGAGCGTTGGCAGGCTCTTTCCAGGGAAGAAAATGCCTCCAGGCAGAACCCACGGATGATCACGCATGGCTCATGGCTCATGTTCAGGAAAGAACAGCTCCGAAGGCAGGGGGTTAAACTGAAAAGAAAAACAGCATCGCAGCACCTCCTGGAGCGTCCTGACACCGCCCGGGAGATCGAAAGCAAACGCAAAAGGTTCGCAGGGCCGCATGGCACCGTGCCTTCAGGTCCCAAAGGAACTCTGAACCCACCTGAAGATCACACAGAGACACTCACCATCACTCGTGCACCGCATCCGCATCTGGTGTGAAGGGAGCCTGATTGGTGACCGAAATGAAACTTCTCAGCTGGGGGATGTGTGGCTGATCTCTCGGGGCAGTTGACTAGTTCTGAGAATCAAACCTCAAGCTCTTAAGGGTGGTTGCGATCTTGGGGGGGGGCGGCGCCTCGGCTTCGGCGGGGTGGGCCGGCTTGGCCCAGAGACCAGGAGTGGTTCGACCCGGTGTGAAACACCAGACCCATCACCAAAGGGCCAGCGAGAGTGCCCCAAACATGAGACATTCAGGTGCAAACAACAATAGAAGCTGGCAAAGGAACTCGACTAAGTACGACATGAACAATAGAAGTCCTGCCGGAACACCAGTGGATAGCGTGACCTCTCGAAGAAAGTACACAACTGTGGATTCCTGCACCCCCCGAAGTCCACCGCGAACGATGTGGCTGGGCTTCCAAGACGTAGCGAAGTGCGTCTCCATTCCTGCTAGTGTCCAATAGCAAAGAAACTCCCTGACACTAAAATACCCCACTCCAGCCCACCAAAATCTCAGATTCCATGCATGGGGAAAATCACACTGTCACTCTACCTACCTGAAACAAATCTGGTGGATAAACGTTGCTCCCAACCCAGGATGCTTGACTGCTTGGCGTCAAAGCAGACGCGTCCCCGCATTTGGAACCACGTTGGGACAACCCATTTGTTGTTGATGAGGCGACCTCTGCCGACCGGAAAAGACAGCGGCAGGCGAATGACTTGGTGGGCGAACCTGTCATCACTGGTCTAACTCGTTTGGCCGTCTGCAGTCCCACTGGGGTCCATGTGTCTCGTCTGTGCCCATCGGGACCCTCGTTTGCTCACACCCACCTGTGATACCCTGGATATACCCAACTTGCCTGGACACAGCTTCACACACGAAGCCGGCGTTCTGCTGAAGCTCCTGAAGAAACAACTCCCACAACTCTTGGGGTGGCAGGCAGAAAATGTTGTCGACAGTCATGCTGGAGTGGTTTGGTCAGAATGATCGAGGCTGAGATGCTGCAGGCAATATAATTTATAATCTATTGTAATCTTATATATATATATACTCTATCATACTGTACTTTCATATCCTTTCACAATTCATACAACTTCAATCTCTCTGCGAGCTTTTTCGGGTTCCATCGAAAAGCTTCCGTTCGAAATCCTCCAAGACCATCTCTGAAGCAGCACAGCATGAACTCACATTGACTCTGCCTTTTGCAAGAAGAGCCCGAGATCCTCAGCAACGAACTTGAGGGCCACTGCATCCTTTTCCACCGCCTCGAGGCAAGTCAGTCCCTCCAACCCCGAGAGAGAGAGAGAGGGGAATTGTCAAGAGTAGGAGTAGGACGGACCGCAAGAGATGTCAAGATATGTTCCATGGAAATCAATTTCAAATTTCCTAAGGTCCAAATACAACTGCAAAGCCCTAAGAACGGATCAATATGGATCAACAATCCTCGACATCATCTCTGGCCAAGACTTGGACAAAGATCATGTTGAGGAATCACTGGAGTACCCATGCCAAATGGCATCCAAACCCCAAAACGGATGAGATCGAGGTAGCAACTTGCCAAACTCTTGGCAATTAGATCTCCCCATGTTCCCATCTTTATTTAATCCAAAAAGAATACATGATATAGACGGAGGGAGAGAGAGAGAGAGAGAGAGAGCTGTGTATATATATATATATATAGAGCCTTCCATCTAACTCCACAAATACAAAGAACCTCCAAGGGGGGTCCCTCTCTCTTGTCTCCCACACCTCACTTCTCTTTGCTTCACCTCACACCAACGACCTCAGCGCAAGACCGCAGCTTGACCCCCCAGACCGCTGAAGGACCGCGGCCTCCAAAGCCAGCGCTCGATCCTTCCGCCACTTGCTCGGCACCAGGCGGAGCGCCCAGCCGGTGCGCCGCACCGCCTCTCTCGGCTCGGGTCGGCGAAGGGCCGAAGTGTCCCTGTGAGTCACGCGAGAAACGGCTTGGAGCTTTGGTGGTATCGACCAGATTTCACCAGTGACGCTTGAGTCCAAAGTTTTGTTTCCGAAAGTCGACCCAAATTCAGGATTCCTTGCAGCAACGCCGGTTTTTTCAGTGTGAGTTGAAGAAGTGTTGCCTGCTTGACGATGGAGGCGAAAGGAACTCACATCGACTCCTTCGACACCCGCGACCCGCGCGACGCCATCGCCCAGATCGTTTTGGCCGCTCCCGCTTTGGTCGGCCAGTTCGGCGGGTGGACCTTCGGAGCACACACGGCGCGCGAGCCCACCACGGCTAAGCGGCTAAGCATACAGGGCCATGGGCCATTGGTTTGTGAACACAAGAGCCTGGGTGTACAGAACATGGTTGCTGAAGAGATGATGTGCTGGGTACTCCTTCCAAGATCGAACTGACCCCATCATGAACGACGACGGGAGCAGGTGGGGCACCCACAGAAGGCAGCTTGCGGGCACAAACCCCATAGAAGGTACACCCACAAAGCTTGTAGGGGCTCCTGGCCTTACTACTAGGAGCAAGGACGCTACTAGGGGCTGCTGGCCGTGCTACTAGGAACCAGAAGCTACTAGGGGCTCCTTTGCTCTCGTCTCAAGCATCATCCGACAACATTCACACCACTGGACCTTTGGTGTGGCACAACCAAGTACACTCGGTGGCGCCACTGACCCTTCTGACTCCATTTTCTCTTGTTTCCTCCACCAAACAGTGGCATCAAGGTGATTCGTCCCTCTGGGTGAGTATGCCACTGAACAAGTGGCAGCACTGCTCAGCACCACATGACTTGAAGTGTTTCCACTGAATCAACTCCTCTACTCCCCCGCCATCTGGGCTGGGTCTGGGATCAAACCACCTCCTCCGCGTCTTGCGGCGCCTGCCAGGGCCTCCGCAAGCAGCTCCACCAAGAGGGAAGCACTCCGCTCGGTGAGGTGGATTTTGTCGTGCACCACCTACTCGGCTGCCGCTCCGGTGTTACACCGGGTTTGTGACGTGGTCCAGCCTTGACTATTACATACTATTACCGTATAAAGGCCCCCGTTTTGTGTGCCGACACTGTTTGGGAGAACAAGAAAAGCAACAACACATATGGTAACGGTGACGGGTTTGTTGGCGTTTTCGGGTCCGGCAAAGAAGGGAGGAGGTGAAGAGTGTGCAGAAGTGGAACGGCAATCGATATAGAGGGGTCGCCAAATGGAAAGATTCATGTGCTTCTCTTTCAGTACAAGGATCAAGGTTCCATTTGGTTCTGGCAGTGTCTATTCGCGCAGTTTTCCGAAGCTGGAGGTGGGTTGAGTTTGCAGTCTGGGGGGGTTCTTCAAATTGGCCTTTGCAACTCCTTCTGAGGCTACGTGCCGTGAGTTGCATTCGCATCTCCGCAGGTCACCAACAACTCCCACAGCGCGGTTTCTTCGATTGCGTGGTTTCGTCCCACAGCGTGGTTTCAGAACATCGATGGAGCATCGGCACCGGAACGCCCCTTCAGGGCGGATGGTCCAAAATAGATGACATCGCTGGTCTGAAGCCCAAATTGACCCAGTGGTCTCTTGGTGTTTCCAGTCGTCAGAGCCTCCCAGGGGTCTCTTCATTGGAGGCTCCGACTGGCTCTGACTCTTCGCGATCAGTGGATCGCTGCGCTGCATCGACTCGCTCACTCTGCCGCGGTGGCTTTCCGACATTTTGCTTTCCATGTCAACAAAATAGAAAATACACCTGCAGGAGGACAACGGAATGTTGCTGAATGTTGCAGTTCGGCCAGCCGCATCCAAAGCCTCTGAACACTCAGATCGAAACTGCAAACCGGTGGACGGCAAGGGGTGTCGACATTGATTAAGAATACCCTCTATCACGTCGTTGTACTGAAGCCATGCAGTATCGTGATCCCATGTGATCCCCCAATAGATCGTGGCATGGTGTCCAATACATGTTCTACGTGGGGATCTACGAACTTCTATGACTATGACAGGGGTGTTCTATAGAATTCAATCCGCCTCCACTCCACCCACCCAAGCACGCAGCGCAGCCCCACATCCCCCCCGCGTGGGGAAAAGCGCATTGGACACGTGCCTCCCTCCCATAGAAGCTCCCTAGGGTGTCGAAGGAGGGACCGATGCCCGGCACGCGGCGCAGGGCCGTGTGGAGAAACCTGGGGAGGGACCGATCCGGTGTCGTCGAGGTCCAACCACCATGGGACTCGTGGCCGCAGCCGCAGGGCCGCAGGGCCGCAGGGTGGGGCAAATGTTTCAGGGTACTTTTGCCAACTTTGAATGACCTCGCTTTTTCGTCGTGCGTAGGGTTTTTCTACGGGGTTCCCGTCCTTTCGCCAACTTGGACCACTCAAAAGAAAGGTGCCCAAACAAAGGCGTGATGTCAATGCCTCTGGAGATCATAACGTAGTAGTTCCTTTCCAAAAAAAGGAAACCCAAATGGAACCGCACATATGACCCCAAGCAACGGAAATTTCTGAGGCTATTTTACCAAGGCTAGTTCATACCCATTTCACAAGCAGTTCTTTGGGTCAGAAAGAACCATGGCAGAAATCATGGCCCGAATCCAGCACAAAGAGCCGGAAGATATGGAGATTGCATGGATATTTTTTATGACTCTATGGCATCCACCGGTTCACTGCCGATCCAGCAAGGAACATCTGGGCGATGGATTGGGAGAAGCCGCTGGAGGAGGCATCGAAGTCTGCCGGCGTCCGTGCGCCCGCGCGAAAACGACGTCTGGAGCTTGGAAGGTTGCAGTGTAGACTGTCGATGAATAAAGCCCTCCACATGGATGATACCCAAGTCATGTTTGTCCCAGTACACATTTAGAGGGATGCTGGTTGTTGGGTCTATAATTGGGTGTATTGTTATGTATTGTTGCTTTGTTGCCCATTTAGCCTGTTTTCCCTCCTCAGAACTACGTTGTTGCATGTAGAAAAAGGAGGACAAAGGGACACCCGGAAAACTGGAGAACGATTGACTCGCCTATGAACCTGTAGGCCATCCCACCCCACAACCTTCAACCAAGCATGCCTCCATCCACCTTGGATATCAACAAATCTGCGTCCCTTAGGCACAACATCTGTCTCCACATCAAACTCCCACTTACTGACGGGGACGTATTCCCTTCACCTTCCACCTTCCACCTTCCGCTGGCCTTCACCACTCTTGCCTTTCAGCTGCTCTCCAAAGGGCACGTAGGTCACTCTCTCCCGCGTGTCGTCGTCCACAGCGCGGCGGATCTCCCTGCAAATCACTGCAGACAACGCTTCGCATCCCGCATCCCCTCCCCAAAATCCTCAGCCACGATTTGAGTGTCGTTGGTTGGATTCACAGATCTGCGAGACACCCGATTTGGACGGCGTGGAAGAATATACAGCAAGCAGTCCGCTCCGAAACCTGACGTGTCCAGGGACAAGAATGCCGCGAATATCTCTCCCTGGCATGGCACCCCCAAAAGGGCAATCCAGTCCAGCACCTCAACTTGTAGGCCCACAAGGGTTGAAAGCCCTCCTATGTGATCCAGCTGTCACTCTGTCAGGACGAAAAGATCGAGGACTACCACAGCTCGGGCGCTGGCACTGCCTGCACTGAACACTGGGGAAAACTGCATTCATCCCCCAGGTCCCAAGAACCAGATCTTGACAGGAAGACAATCACGAACATCCAGCAAATGTGTGTTTTTATGTGCAGCCGTGAGGCCAAGATGGAATTGTTTGCCACAAAGGACCCTGTTCAAAAAATGCCGTCCATTGGGGCCCCCTCTGTGTACCTGGTCACCTCACGTCTACAAGGCCACCTGGCCATACCTGGAGGGAGGTGGCCACTGGGCAGCCCGGCTCGTTGTAGCCCTCGAGTAATCTGGCCGCCTCACTCTTCTCGCTCGCCTCCCCCAAGGGCGGCAGGCTGAGCACCGCCACGCGCGGCGCACGCACCGCGGCAAGCCTGAAACACAGGGGCTGAGCCCCACACGCAACCAAACGTGCTTTGGAAGGGAAGACGGTGCACTGGCGGTTTCTATCAAGCAGGAGTTCGTTCCAATGGAGCAGCCTGCTTGATAGTGGGTCCATCCCTTCGACACGACCCAACAAGGACCTTGTTGGGGATGTTGGGGTGTCTTGGTTCCTTCAGGTTCCTGAACGCAGTTGTTCTAACTTGGGGCTCTTCCATCCATCCCATCCACCGTTGGATCCCATTGGAACCCTCTGAAGCAGCCGACCTTGTCCTCCCATCACTAGTGACGTCCTTTTGGAAATAATGCAGAGGGGCCGATTTGGTACCAAAAACCTATTGGATCCTATTGGTGGTTCACTTGTGGGTGTCGCCACTATTGATTCACCAACCAAGGCCGTACCAAGGCCGTACCAAGGCCACCGATACTCCCCTCCATCCAGGTGGCAGGCTCCGGAAGGACTTGGAGAAGTTCTCCCGCGAGGGCTCATACTCCGCTGGCAGCTGGTTCCTCAGTCGAGGCTTGCTCCGAAGTCTTCGAAGTCGCCTGTCTGAGTTCAGATCCAAGAGAGCTTCAAGGATCTGAGCTGGGACCTGAATTAGTGGTACATGTGGGATAGAGTGTAAAAGTTTATACGGCTGTTGACGAGTATGTTTTACCCTTCCAGTCCCCTCAAAACTCGAAGGAATGCTCCTCCTCTGAGCGACACCAGGGCAATCCTGGTGATAACAGGTGACGGACACACCAGGCGATCCTCTCCTGTATGCATTTTAAAGCACCGTGTATAATATAGAGTGCGTGTGTGTGTTTCTTGCTCTTCTTGGGGGCCTGGAGGTGGTTTCTTCAGATCAAGTAAAGAATCACGGACAGACAGACAGACAGACAGACAGACAGACAAACTGGACTGACTGACTGAATGACTGACAGCTGAGTCTTTGGGGGCTACCATTGGGCAACATATTTCTTCAACCCTAACACACTGTTTTCA